GACGACGACGACACACACACACACACACACACACACACACACACACACACACACACACACACACACACACACACACACACACACACACACACAAATCCGGACCTGCTCGTCAACCGTTCACAACATCACAAAACATAGCCACACAAAGTCATGTTGAGCGCGTTTGGTCGGTGCCAGCGGTTGCTTTGTGTGAAGTTTTACACAAATATTCCGTTTGCCCCATGCATGTCTAATTCGGTGCATCGTTTGGGTTCATTGTTGTTCGTTTTTCGTTCGTTTTTCGTTCGTTTTTCGTTCGTGTTTGCGTTCAGGGGTTGCCCCGTTGACCCCTTCGACGTAGTTGGACACCAGCCAGCCAGCCTACCGCGGTTTGACGTACCAAACCTTCGGATTGCTTCTGCTTGTCGTTCTGCTTTCCTTTGTTGCTTGCGCACAACCATAATTTTCTCCCTTTGTTTTTTCTTGCTTGCGTTGCACTTCACCTGTCATTCGCCACCGGGTACGGTTGTTTTGTGCCCCGGTTTGTGACCACATGCGCGTGCATACGGTCCATGTTCAAAGCACCTTCGCCACCGCCGAAGGCACAACAGGGTCGAATGCTTGCGTGTACGTCGGTGGTAATTTCTCATGCGATCAGCCACCCCACAACTTCAAGCGTCAGTCACGCCGCAAGCAAGCAAGCAAGCAAAAGCAAGTTGTGTGATTTGAGAAAAGCAACACTTTGTTGTTGTGAGACCCAACCTCATACACACACATGCATGTGAGCTTTCATTTTTCTTGCTGATGCATTTATCTCATCCACCCATCCACACCACACAGGTGGGTCAGGGTTTGGGTGCTGTTTTGTTGCTCTCCTTTTCCTTTCCTTTCTGTTCTGCTCTTTCTTGCTTGCTTTCTTGCCGATGCTTGCTTGCTTGCTTGCTGATGGTGGGTTTTGTTGTGTGCCTGTCCTTCAGGTTTGTGTGTCACACACATCATCGCATGTCACAACAAGCCAATACAATAGCCAAGCCATCGTTCCAGCGGTGCGTTTTGTCGCACAAACACCTGCTCGCACCACTGCCCGCACCACTTGGTGAAAGCCAAACGAGTTCCATTTCACGCTTGCCAAGTCATGGTGCCGTTTTGTTTTCTGGTTTCTTTTGCCTCTTGACCCAAGCTCCTCTTGCTCACATCACCCCCATCATCCATCCCAGCGTCCATCCTCACACCCGATCCATTTCGTTTTCTTGATCCAGCCGATCCAGCTCCAAAACAGCAACCCAAGGACACCCGCCCATCCCCGACAGATCGCAGACACGCATACGTCGTTTCTTTCCCACCCACAACACGCAGGTGAGCGAGCCTTTGTTGGCTGTTTTCGTTTGTTAACGTTCGCTGTTTGTTTGTTTACCCCCCTTGTTCCTTCCCCCGTGCGTGCGTGCGTGCGTGCGTGCGTGTGCGTGCGTGCGTGCGTGTGTGCGTGTTTCGATACGTGGCGCGCATCGTGCATTGCTCCCGACCCAAGTGGCATCGGGGTCGCTCGCAATACCCTCCCCACTCTTCCTCTGTGTGTTTGTGTGCCTCCCCACCTTTCTCTCTCGCTCTCCCACACACACACACACAACCAAGACCACACCAGCACTTGCTTCTGCTGTTCTGTGCTTTTTCTGTGCTTCGGTACGTCCCTTGGTTGTGTGCTGTTGTGTGCTGTGGTGGGCATTGCTTCTGTCCACCTCTTCAGCACGATCCCTGCACACACACGTTCCTTTCTTGCTGTGACGCGGTTCCCACACGAGCACACCACAACCAACCGCCAGCCAGCATGTGTGTGTGTGTGTGTGCTTCACTTTCTGCGACCCCTGATTCCAACCTCCCTTCCCAACCAGCCAACCAATCAACCCACTTCTGCTCTGCGCACTCCTTGCTGAGTTGCCGTGCAATCGGTTGTGCACTCCTCCTCCCATCCCAACCCACCCACCACCGCTTCCTTTCTTTGTCTTCTTCCTTCGCATGCACTTCTGTTTCGTGTGGTGAGAGTTTGCTTGGTGTGTGGCCTGTCCTGGCCTTGTGACTTGCGTTGGTCGCGCGCATTGGTTGCGGCCGCCCCTGTGCATGGCCTGCATGGCACACGCGCTTTTCATGTGACACACGCGCTTTTCATGTGACACACGCGCACGCACACACGCACAACTAGTTGTTGTTGTTGCACGCCACGCTTCTTGCCGCCACACACCACTTGTTTGTGTTGCTCGTGCCACACGTATCATCGGGCTGCATTCTGTTTTGTTCCCTTGTTTTCAAAACCATCGCATCCACGACGCAATTCGCTCTCACCACACCCATCCCGAGCAATCATCTGCGCACCAACTCACCGACCCCCCCCCCTCCTCTCTCTCTCAAATACTCCTTTCCTCTCTCTCCTTTTCTCCCCGTGTCATCTTGGCTCATGCATGCATGACGTTCGGCCGTCGTGTGTCACCGTTGCATTTTTTTCCCTTTTCGCCCTCCATCCAACCCCTCATCTGCAAGATAACTTGGCAGGCATCTGGCGACCCCCGGTACACTCCCCGTTTGTGAACTGCCAACCAACTGCAAGCAAGTGCAAGAACATTGGCCCCTCTGCAGTTGAAGCACCAACCTGCAGGAAGCAAGGAAGCAAGGTCGACAAGAAGCGCAGGGTTCGATCGGCAGAGCACACGCGCCGCCACGGCCCACCATTGATTGCTGCATCGTTCTCTCACACACACGACATACAACGGCACCACCACCCCTCAATCTCCCACATCCTCCCCCGATCCCTCTCTGCCAACAACACCAGCACGCAGCTGCAACAACGGAATCGTCACTTCGGAGAGACAGCTCGTCTTCTTGTTCTTCTCCCACGACCACAGCGGTCGCCGCCGCGCCGCGCTCACAACACCCCAACAGGTGTGTGTGTGTGCGTGTGTGTGTGCGTGCGTGTGTGTGTGTGTGTGTCCTTGTCCTTGCCCTTGCCCTTGCCCTTGTCCTTGTCCTTGTCCTTGTCCTTGTCTTTGGTGTTGCCCGTGCGTTTTGTCCAATGTGCTGGACTTGTTGCGTGTGTGCACACTTGCTGCCAACAGGCAGCTTCGCTCTCTGAAGTTTTGCGGCTTTGTGTCCGTTGGATTGCGCTGTGTGGGCGTGGATGCTGTGGGCGCTGTCTGTCGCTTCCCCCCCCAATCGCCATCCGATGTGTTGTTTGCCTTTAGTTTGTTGTCCTTGTCATCGTTTCTTGTGTGTCGTCCTCTCTCCTCTTCACGGAGCATTCTCCGGCTTTGGTGCATCCATGCATCCATGCATCCGTGCATCCATGCATCCATGCATCCTCAAATCTACTTGCCTGCTTGCGATTGTGCAAGATCATCAGTCGTTCATTTTCCCTCACCCTTTCCACACATCCACACGCCCCTACACACACCCCTACACACGCCTACACACCCCTACACACACCCCTACACGCATGCTTCGACACATGCCTTAAAACAGAGTTGGACCCCCACCCCTTCTCTCAAGTCGTAGCCAGCCGGAGCACGCCGCTTCGTCAGCACGGCCGACAGCAGCAGCGACCTTCCCCAGATGTTCAATCACTCCGGTGATTTGCCGCCAATGTTTGGGGAGCCGTCCGCCCACCACCAGCACAAACCACACCAGCACCAGCACCAGGAGCACCAGCACGAGACACATTCCGAGCTGCACACCCAGCCGTTTGTGTCCACGCTGAACCCCTCGTCCATTGCTGCTGCCATCACCACCAACAACAACAACACCACCACCAACCTCAGCACCATCACCAGCAACGGTAACAGCGCAGGGACGCCCGCGGCCACGTCTGCACCGGCCATGGCGTCCAACTTCCTCTTCGCTGCGTCCATCGCCTCCACCGACCCTGACTCCAACCTGGCACGCGCTGGCCGCGACCACCCGTCCATCACCACCACCACCACCACCACCACCACCACCACCAACCCCACCAGCGCCAGCGCTGCCAGCAACATCACCTCCTCCTCCTCGTCTGCGTCTTTTATCCAACGCATGATAACCCAGCACGGCTTCAACCCCGTGCGTTTCAGCCCGACTTCAAGCGCAACCACCACACAACAGGGGGCCCTCTCCTCAGCCGCCGGCAATCTTGTGCAGCACCAACAGCAAGACCAACAACAACAACAGCAGCAGCAGCAACAACAACAACAACAACAACAATTGCAGAGCAGCCCTGCATTTCGTCTGCCGCAGCTGGTTGGCGCGTCGCCAGCGATGCTGTCGGGGGTTTCGACGCCCTGGCCCACCAACACAGCCGACACCAGAGCCACGCTCACGGACCTGGCCAAGTTGCTGGGGCCCCTGACTCAGCAACAGCAGCAGCAGCAGCAGCAGCAGCAGCAGCAGCAGCAGGGTGGTAACGGGACCAGCATGTCGTTTGCGTCGCAAGCGCCGTTTGCACCTGCATCGAGTGCGGTCATGAGCACACCACCATCAACGACAGCGCCAGCGCCGACGCTGCCCAACGTGGGCGTTGCAGCATCGTCAGCCGTCGCCCCCACCACCACCTCCTCCTCGTCGTCTTCCGCCTGGCAACGCCGCCTGCACCCCGAGCAGCAACAGCACGCCATGGCAGCGAGCGCAAGCGTGACCACCACGGCGCGGCCGCTGCCGTCGTTTTCGACGTCGGACCCAGACCCAGATCCGGCCTCAAACCTGGGCCAACCCCATCAACAGCAACAGCCACAACAGCAGCCACAACAGCAGCCACAACAGCAGCCACAACAGCAGCAACGGGAGGAGGATAACACTCGTGCGGTGCTTGCTCAACTGCAAGAGACGCTGTACCGGCACCAGGAAGCATACACGAGCCAACAGCAGCGACAACAGCAACAACCAGCGGGCGGCGCCGTGTCATCGTCGTCATCAATGCTCCACCCAGCAGCACCCACAGCCACGACGCCGATGGCGTCTGCGGGTGTGAACGAGTCAAACGACTTCCTGGTTCGGCAGCTCTTGGACCTGCTTGCTGCAGACCAGCAACGGCAGCATGGGCAGGCAGCCCAGCCAACACCGCAGGTCACCGGGACCACCTTCCAGCCGCAGCAAATGGCACCCCACCCCATGTCCGGCACTACCACTGGCACTGGCGTTGTACAGGCAGTCCCTCCTGGTCCGGCCAGTCCAAGTTCGTTGGCAGACATGCTTAAAACCGCGCGTGAGCTCATGCAGTACTTTGAGGGCGGCGCGACCACGCCTGTGGGCACCACGAATGGCTCCGGTTTGCCGCCTTCCCAGGGGATGCCGCCGCAGTCGTCGCACACGGCGCCACAGCAGCGCATTCGTGGCGGTGCTCTCATGACGCCAGAGGCGTATGCTTTGCAGGGCCCGCGCGCCGGCATGAGCGGTGCGGGCACGGCAATGGGTCATGGTGGTAACCGCGTCCAGCACGCCAACAGCGGCGCCGGCGCACCCGGCTGGAACACCATATACCCCATGCAACCCCGCCACCACCACCAACAACAGCAGCGACCGCACCTCTCGTCCACACTGCAGCCGCTGCAGCTGCTGCCCGACGGCTTCAGCCCATCCCTGCACGGCCCGCTGCCGGTGCCAATGCCACCGCTTGACAACACGCCGTCCCGCCACACCAAGAACGGCCGGCGTGGTGGCCGTGGTGGCCGTGGTCGCGGCAACGGCGGCCGCACGCGGCGTCGACCGGCAGCGAAGAAGAGGCGGAACAGCGGCGGCAGCGATGGCAGCGATGGCACGGCGAGCAGCAGCATCAGCAGCAGCGACAACAGCGGCGCGCGCACGGGCCGCCCCCGTCCCCGCCGTCCACGCGTTCGCGACCTGCCAGCGGAGAAGCGCGCGCATGTGCGCAAGGTGGCGCGCGAAGCGGCACGCAGGCGCAAGTGAGTATTTTTGTGCGTGTCTATGCGCACGTGGATGCATGTTTGTGTGTGTGTGTGTGTGTGTGTGTGTGTGTGTGTGTGTGTGTGTGTGTGTGTGTGGCTTTTGTTGCGCGTGTGTGTTGTATTGTTTGTGCGTGTGAGTGTGGGTATATGTTGTTTGAGTTTGCGCACACGCTCTTGTCGCTTGTACCTTTTCCTCACCACGGCTTTATCCCTTTTACGCACACGCACCAACTGGCCAGGCTGAAGCAAGTGGAGCGGATGGACACACTTGGCATGCTCATCTCGCGGCTTGAGCAGAAGCACCACTGGCTGCGCATGGAGAAGGCGTCCCTGGCTGCCGACCGCCAATGCCTCATCAACCGGATTCGTGAGAAGCTGCGCAGTAACCAGCTCAACCTCCCCACCTTCAACACCCAGCAGCAGCAACAGCAACAACAGCAACAACAGCAACAACAGCCGCTTCGTGCGGCTCCCCACATGCCCACCTCATCATCATCAACAACGGGCCAAAGTGTGTTTGAGCACAAGCGCCAGTGACGGGCGACCCGCAGTGGTGCTGGTGCTGCTGGTTGTGCGTGGGTGTGCATGTGGGTGTGTGTTGTTATTTGGTGAGCGTGGCTGCGCAGTGGCTGGGATGGGCCCGCGTCACTGTCCTGTTGCCGCCATCAACGACGACGACGACGACGATGACAACAACAACCATGTGGGCGATGGGGAAAAGCAATTGGCTGCCACCGAATTTTGGCCTGTGTGCGCTTGCGTGTATCCTTTACTAACTTAACATCACGGTGTGCACGCTTCTCTTTTATCGCTTGGATTCCCCCTCCCTCTTGAATATGACCCGATCTCGACTGTGCTTTGTTGCCCTTTGGCTTATTTCGCCTCTCCCCCTTCCCTCCTAAGCCCGCTTCTCCCTTCCTTCTCGTCACTTTCCCCTTACCTTCCGTTTGTCTCCAAAGCACTAGGGTCGGTGTTGAAGATGCGTTTTGTGACTTCAAGTTATCTGTTGGTTGGTTGGTTGGTTGGTTGGTTGGTTGTTCTCCCGTCGAGTCGTTGTTGGGCGCCTTGTTGCTGAATCCGTTTCTGATTGCTGTGGCTTTGTTTTTCTCCTTGTATTGCTTGTGATCACGCTGTTATCTCCCGTGATCAGTGGTTGCTGCTGATTGGATGCCATGCACCTTCCTCCTCTGTTGGTTGTTGCGCACCTGTTGGCTTGTGCTGATGGGCATGCAGTTGTTGTTATGAATGTGGTTGTGTCCCTTCCACTCAGGTGTGTGCCACCACCCCAAGCTCTGTTCTGTTCTTGATGGCGGCGGCGGTGGTGGTGGCAGTGGTTTTGTTCAAGTCGAAGAGAGCACGCATGCGCGCGTGTATGTGGGCCTGTGTGCGTTTGTTGTGTGTGCGTGCGTTTCTGTTGCTTGCTGATCTTACTTAATTGGTGCTTTCCTTACCGCAAGGCTGTGGGTTTCTTATTTTCTATACGTCTTTTGATGACTGACGCACGCACGCGCGCACGCACGCACGCATTTTGCATGCACCCCCATGCCGCGCCATCGTTGCTTGAGACGTCTGCGTATCTTTGTGGTTTGTGGGTTTTGTTGCACGCCTGTTCTCTCTCCTAGCTCCCTGTCAACAATGGCTGTCTTCTTAAGCTGCCTGCGGTTGTTGTGGGATCGGCTGGCCGAGAACACCTCCTCCAACCTGTCGGTGTGTCGTTCGTTCTCTGCTGTTGTTTGTTCGGTGTTTCGTTATTCTGGTTGCTGCTGACCTAGTTTGTCGGGCTGTTCTTTTTGTTGTGTGTGTGTGTGTGTGTGTGTGTGTGTGTGTGTGTGTGTGTGTGTGTGTGTGTTCTTGGCTCTCGGCTTTGGCCGCCACGCTTCAGCCCACGCCCGCCCGCCCGCTGTTTATCTGCCTCCGCTGTTACGTGACACGCGCTTGCGTGCTATTTCTTTTTGTTTTGCCTTCTCCTTATTCCCCGCGTTACACTTTGGCCACTTTGGCCCCCTTTGACTTTTGCGCGTTTTCTTATTGATTGATTGTCCCACGTGATGTCAACGCTTAGTACACGAACCCCAACATAACCGCACGCAGATGAGTGCATGGTGCGAGGTGAGGTGTGAGGTGGGTGGTGCGAGTGGGTGGGGAGAGTGGGTGGGGAGAGTGAGGGGAGCAAGCACACACACACACACACACTCACACACACACACACACACACACACACACACACACACACACACACTCACACACAGACACACACACACACACACACACACACACACAGACACACAGACACACACACACACACACTCGCAGTGTTGATATGTCTTGGATGATGTGGCGAATTTTCTCGGTAACGGTCCAGTGCCAAACCACAACAACCATGCGAAGTTTTGAACACCACCACCAGCATGCTGCTCATGGCAGCACTGACAGCAATGGCAGCAATGGCAGCGGCGGCGCACGCGGCGAGGAAGCAGCAGCGTACCTGCAGCAGTTGGAGGCCCTGCGGAAGAGCAGGGCAGCCACGCTGGAGTTGATGGGTAGCTTGTACGATCGGCAGGAGCAACGGCTCGGCCGCGGCCCGTTGCGCGTGGAAGACTTGCAGCCCGCAGTGAACATGTATGCTGCTGCTGCACAGCTGCCGGCCACACGCGGGCCAACGCTGCAGATCGTTCCTGAAGCCCATCAAAGCAGGCCTGCCACCACATACGCGATGCAGCAACCACCGAGGCAACCCCAGCCTGTCACAGACGAGGAGGTGCTCAGGGCCCGAGCGCAGCACCGCATCTCCACAATGTGGCATGGTCAGTGCGCTGTGTGTGTACGTGTGTGTGTGTGTGTGTGTGTGGTTACACGGCAACTGCCAACCCACTTGCTGCTGTACTTTCAACGGTTGTCTTATGATTCACTCTGCACATGTCTTGTGTGCCTTGTGTCACGTATGCTCGCATTGGCTCAGGATTCTCAGCAAGCAGTTCTTCGGACGAGCATGATGAATGTGCAACGGATGATGATGATGCGTACGGGGACAGTGAGGATGCGGCCAGCCTCACCGACACCAACGAGGAAGAGCGAACCCCACCTGGACCTCCCAGGGTGAGCGTGCGCTGCTTATGAACGTGACCAGTCATGCGTTTGAAAAGAGTGGTGTGTGTGCGTGTGTGTGTGCGTGTGTGTGTGGGGGGATAGCTGCGGTCGTCTCGTGCACACGTGTTTGCACTCACATGCACGTGCGTACACGCGGTCTCTGTGGGCATGGCGCAGGTTGCCTTTGTGCAAGTCAACAGGAGAACACGTGGTGCGGTGGAGTATGAACAGGAGAAGAAGAAACAAGAGGAAGCAACGCAAGCGGAGCTGCGCAAAGTTCCAAGAGCGCGCGATCCACCAGGTGTGTGTGTGTGTGTGATGTGTATGTGTGTGTGATGTGTGATATGTGATGTGTGTGCACTGCATGTGTGTGTGTGATGTGTGTGTATGTATGTGATGTGTGTGCAGCACGTGCGCGCGCAATGTGTGGCTGTTTTCTTGCATTGCTCAGCGTCAATCCCCCCCCCCCTCCGTCAGAGCAACTGCCACTTCTCATCCACAACAACAACGCCTGCCACAATCTGCCTTTCAACTCAGGCACAATACACCAGCCACTGTACCAGCACATGCAACAAGAGTGGATGGCGAAGAAGCAGCAGGTGGGATTGCGCTGTTTGCATGTCCAGTCATAAGACACACAAGAGGCACTCATTGATGTACACTTGGCTCACGTGCAAGCAACACGTCAAGCAAGCGTGTTCAAATGGATGACACGTGCCACTGCACCTCACTCCCTCACACACCCGCTCATTTGCTCGTCACATACACACACACACACATACATGCACATATGTCACATGCGCGCGCGTGTTCAGTTTATGCAGAGTCGAGATGCGCTGCGCCGCGAACAGGAACAGCGACGCCAACAGCAGGAGCGATGCGGAGACGCCGTTGGTGTCAATGATGATGGCGACAGTGGAGACAGTTCAGCAACACAGCGCCAGGGAGGCGGCAGATCAGCGTCCCGCCTTCGCCATAAGCGCTGCATGGGCGATGGAGACAATGATGGTGATGGTGGACGAGTGCGACGGCAGTTCAAAGCCCGGCCGGTGCCCCTACATGTGCTCGATCCGGATCGCACGCAGCAGCTCGAGGAGCGCCACCTCTACCGCAAACTCAGGTGCGCTCGGCGATGTGTGGGGGGAGGGTGTGTAGTTGTGTGTGTGTGTGTGTGTGTGTGTGTGTGTGTGTGTGTGTGTGTGTGTGTGTGTGTGTATATGTGTCTGTGTGTGTGGCTGTGTGTACATATGTGTGTGTGCGTTCCATTGCAGCAGCTCACTGCTGCCGTTTGCTGCTGCTCAGAATGCGGATTTTGGCCGAGGAGAAGCTGGCGACTGTGGCGGCGCCGGGAGCAATGGAGTGTAAGTGAAGATGCAATGCAATGTGGTGCTGGTGCTGCTGCTCTTGTTGTTGTTGTTGTGTTGCTGCTGCTGCTGTTGTTGTTGTTGTTGTTGTTGTTGTTGTTGTTGTGTTGCTGCCGCTCACCGTCTTTGCTGCGCATTCAGCACTGATGCGAGCACTCGTCTCATGTTCTCTCTCCAATTGCCACCATCATTACTTCTAACTGCCATCGCAGATCGCATCTTGGAGTTTACGGAGAAGAAGAAGGCGGAGCGACATGCTGACGAGAAGAAGAAGAAGCAAAATGCACAGCGCAAGGTCCAACCCACGCCATTCGTGCTTCTGTGGTTTACGTGTGTGTGTTGTGTTGTGTTGTGTTGTGTTGTGGTTTGTGTGTGCTTGTTGTGATATGTACTATTGTGTTGGTGCGCTCTGTTGTGCGTTCGTGTTGCGTGTTGTGCGTGAATTCCCAACCTCTGTTCTCGATCTCTAGTCACCGACATCGTGAGACGCTCACATCACCACCGCTGCGTATCAGGCGCGCCAGGGCGACGGTGGCATTACGAGACCAAGGCCATTCAACCTCTCGGCACCAAAGGACAAAACGGAAGAAATCAACCGCATCAAGCAGGTGTGTGTGTGCGCGCGCGTATGTGTGTGTGTGTTGCGCAGACGTACTGCACTCTTGTTCCTTTACCGCCCAAGCTTCCCGCTCACTTGCCTCACCATTGCTCCTTCGCATGCACTTTTCGTGTGAATGTGTGTGTGTGTGTGTGTGTGTTAGGAGATGGAGGAGGACAAGGAGCGGAAACGCGAGCAGCGATGGCCTTTCGCCCACTCAACGCCAAAGAAGCAGCTCCCATACGGTAATACACGGTGGTGGCATGTGTACACGAGAGAGACAGGGAGAGACAGAGAGACAGAGATGCGGAATGTTCGTGTGCGTATGTGCTGTCATGTATTCCACCGTGGCTTTGCCACTATTTCGCCCCTAACGGCTGGATGCTTGCATGCACACACACACACACACACTGCACACTGCACACACATCACCACATCCCCTCCCCATGGTTGTGCAGATGTTGACCGCAAGGCATATCTTGCCGTTGGGCGTGGTCTTCGCACACCGGCCGTTCGCCAGACGCGCGCAGCCAAACTCAGGACAGAACACGTGGGTGGTCACACATACACACACACACACACACACATGCACTCAATTGCATCAGGGATTCATGGCATCTGATGCACGCGCGTATACACACATACACGCGCGCGCACATACACACACACACACACTGTCTCTCTCTCGCTTCACTCCTTCACATCCACTCACAACACACTCCCACACTGACACATCTCTCACTCTTCAAACACCGTCCCCCACCCCACGTCGATGGACAGACTGCACGGCAGCTTGAGGAGCGGGAGCACGCTGCGCTGGTGGCGGAGGAGACGGCATTGACGCGTCAACACGGCGCCTCCCCGCGTGTGCGCGAACAGGTGCGCACGCAGGTGCAACGCAACGACCGTGGCCCCATCATCCACGCCCGCCGCCGCATGAACACGCTCGTGTTCCGCAAGACACAGGACGTGCTGGCAGATGCGTACAGGGAGCATATTGACTCGATTGATCGACGCGTGGCGCAGCAGCCCACCCTGATGGAACGTGTCGCCTCCACCGCCACCGCCAATACCAACACCACGACGCGGGGGAACCGTGGCCATCGTCACCGCTATCCTCGCGATGGTGGTTGTGGTGACGACGATGCACTGCCGCCGCGTGTGCCGTTTGCACCGTCAGAGAAGCGCGCGTTCCCCGGCGTGCGCGTGCGCGAGGACCACTTTGCTGCTGCACTCGAGTCATCTGCATCATCGTTTTCGTCGTTCTCCTCCTCTGAATCGTCGTGGCGTTCGCCCGCCCCATCTGTATCGTCAGCGTCATCGACATCGATGCTGTCGGCAACCGGAACAACAGCAGCAGCAACACACGCACGCACACGCACACATGCACGTGGGGAGTCCCTCTCCACGACTTCATCGTCGTCATCGTCGTCTGTGTCGACGCTGGCGCGGCCGCTGTCTGCTCTCCGTTTGGCAGCCGGCGGTAACGGCGGTTATGGTTATGACGATGAATATGGTGACGATGACCGGAGCGTGGATGTGGAGGTGCAGGTCGAGCTGCCTTCGAGGAAGGAGAAGGAGGAGGAGAAAGCTGGAGAACCGCGTGTGCGGCCGCCGGTGTACACACGCCAGGTCGACGGGGAGACGCAACAACGGCAACAGCGGACGCAGCAGCGGCAGCAGCAGCCGCGACCCACACGGCGCGCACTTGAATTTGGGCCTGGGGATGATGGCGTGGTGGTGACTGCCGATGTCGATGGTGGCAAGCAGAAGAAGCAGCAGCAGCAGCAGGCGCACGCATATTCGCGCCCGCGTGCCCGTATTGGTCGTGGCTATTCGGACCGTTCGTCCATTCTGACCGACCGCGAATTTGTCGTTGAGGGGCAGGGGCCACCATGCGATGAGGGTGATTGTGGCGGTGATCGTGATGGCAGCGGAAGGTGGATGATGGATGCGCACACGCAGCACCAGCACGAAGATGAGAGGGTTGGTGCCTCAAGTCACGCGCATGGCGCTGCGGTGGTGTCGGCAGCGATTGGTGGCGATGGTGTTGGGTGGGCACCGTCACGCCAGCGCACAGGAAGACAGCTGCTCGTGCAGGCTGCACGCGAGCCATGAGATGATGCCCTCTGTGTGTGTGCGTGTGTGTGTGTGTGTGTGTGTGTGTGTGTGTGTGTGTGTGTGTGTGTGTGTGTGTGTGTGTACAAAATTGCGCTGTGTCCTGCATTGCATTATTGTGTCCTGCATTGCACTGTGTGCTCTCCGCTGTTCGATGGTGCCCACTCAACAGTATTGGTGTCTCAATACGGGGTAGTTCAACGGTCATGACTGTTTTGGTTCAATATCCAACCCAAGCTTGTTTGCAACGCGTAGCGGAGCATGTGATGTGATTCACACACACACACATACACAACAGGTGAATAAACGTCAACAAAACACAAAAGTCCATTACACATCACGTTACGTCGCGCATGTATTCATCACACATCCATACACATACACAGCCATACATGCGTGCACACGAACAAACATATTCACATCATACGAACATGCATTCAATCACATCATACAATCACAGCCATGCACATTCACCACACACCACACAAACAAGTACACCAGCTGGTGGCACGGGTGCACGTGCTCTCAAGTGACGAGGGCAATCTCCTCCTCCGTCAGGGGGTACGACATGTGCTTGTACCAGGGCGGCAGGCCCTGCATGGACGCAAGCACGTTCGCGGTCTCTGCGCGCTCGACCAAGTTGTCAAAGGGGAACTCGGTGGTGAAGCCCTCACCAAAGTACTTCTGGCTCAGCGCCAGCACACCGCCCGTGCACGCCATCTCCAGTTCGTCTGCATCAAGCGTCATCGTGCCTGAAGGAAGGCCACAGGACGCGGCAGGGGGTGAGTGAGTGAGTGGGTGTATGTGAGTGAGTGGGTGTATGTAAGATGAGCATGGAACAACGACACAACACATGCGCGACACAACGTCTTCCCGATTCCATCCATTCATTCATCGAAGCTTACCTTCGTCTAGGTCGTACTCATCAAGATACGCCTCGTTCTCCCGCAGCCACTTGGGCAGCTGTCAGTTGACGCAAGGTTGGGGTGGGGTGGGGGTTCATGAGCGATGAAGGGACCAGGCGCAGTGAGCCAATACCACAGCGAGATGATGCGACAAATGTAAGTGCTGATCGCAAATGTAAGTGCTGATCGCAAATGTAAGTGCTGATCGCAAATGTAAGTGCTGATCGCAAATGTAAGTGCTGATCGCGCGAACCCCACGCACCAGGACGTCGAAGCACGTCTCGTCGTCGATTGTGACGACCTTGCACTTGATACCGAGCCATTGGCAGAGCTTCTGCAGCGGTTTCTCCATCGTCTGCGCCCTGGCCGTCGCTCTACACCAAGAGGAGGTTATGACGGTAGTGAGGAGGGAGAGAGAGAGGAGAGAGACAGAGAGAGAGAGAGAGAGAGAGACAGAGAGAGACAGAGAGAGAGAGACAGAGAGAGACAGAGAGAGAGAGAGAGAGACAGAGAGACAGAGAGAGACAGAGAGAGAGAGACAGAGAGAGAGAGACAGAGAGACAGAGAGAGAGAGAGAGACAGAGAGACAGAGAGAAGTGGGGGGAGGGAATGGGGTTGTGCAGTGAGAAGGTGATGTGGGGTGATGCGTGAGAAGGCGAAGGAGAAGGTGAGTGGACAACGGCATGGTTACGAGGGTGGGGATGAAGCGAAGTGTGGATGAAGAAAAGTGCGGCCCACATGCACGGCACGCACAACGCAGATCAACGCACTCCTTCTTCTGCTGCTTTGCCTCCTGCTCTTCTCTCTTGGCAGCGGCGCGCTCCTGAGCCTCCTTCTTCTTGGCTGCTGCCTCTTCGTTCGTCAGCTTGGGCTTGGGCTTGGCCTGCTTCATCTGCTTCTTGAAGTCCTTCTCGATGGTCTTGGCCTGCTTGCGTTCGTCTGGGGTGAGGGTCTCGAGGAACGCCTTCTTGTCCTCCTTGTTCTGTTTCAGCGCATCCATCTGCTCCTGGGTTGGCTGGCCCCTGTCAGTTGAGCATACAGAACAAGAGAAGGAAGGTGAGCGTGGAGGACATGGCAGATGGAGGATATGGAGGATGGAGGACAAAAGCGCAGCGTGAGCAACGGCGACGAGCGTGATGGCGAGAAGTGTGCAGTTGATCATGCAACACGCACACACACGCACGCGCACACACACACACACATAAAGAGGTGGCGTTGACGTACTCCACTTGGGGCATGGCTGCGAGGATGTCGCGCCAGCGCGCAAACACGTCGTCCGTGTCGCCCTGTACGCTCATCTTGGCTGATCGTGTGTGTGTGTGTTGTGGTGAATGTGCAGGTGTCTTGCTTCTCGCTTCCAGTTACAACAGCAGTTACGCACTGCGACTGAATTCAGGCGGGACGCTGTACTGTGGTGGAACAAAGAGCCGCAAACACACAGTCACGCGCACACACACACACGCGCGCGCGCGCGGCACACACACAC